CAAGACTCAGTTTTTGGACTAGCAAGGAAATCACTGTGTACCCTTTTGGCCAAACTTCCAGGAGCTGGCGAGGCTTCTCCAGAGTGAGCACTCTGAGCACCGGGGAGCCTTCTGCTTTCTGGGGCGGGGGCGTGGAAGTGGAAATGCCCTTTTTCGGCAGGATGATGAGGTTTTTTTTGCCCCTCCTTGTCAGAGGCTGGGCACCCCACAGCCAGGACTGGGTTTTGCCACCAGCCAGGGTGTTTCGGGTTGTTTTTCGCTTCGTTCATCTTTCACATTCTCCACCTCTCTGTTCAGTTCACTACTGTCACCTCCAGTTTGGATTCGCATCAGCCTCTGATGACAAGGGAAATGCTCATTTCATGGACACTCATGTGTGCTGTGCTTGGGGGCCCTGCAAAGGTCATCTTGTGGAGTCTGTGAAAGAGCCCTGGGGAGAGGGAGTGATGTCCTTGTTTTAGCTGAGCAAAGGGAAGCTCAGAAGAGCAGAGCCACCACTCCAAAGTCACACGGCTGCTAAGCAGCAGGCCTGGGGTGGAAATTCTGAAGCAGAACTAATAATCAACATTAGGTTTGTCTCAGCCAAAATGAAATACTTTGGTCTTTCTACTCTGCCACACCTTCTCCGGTGGTCCCCGGGGAGGGGTCTATGTCAGCTCAACCTGCAGGCTGCTCTGCACTCAGAGGGGACACGTAAGGAGCAGCCAGTGTACCCAGACAGCAAATTCTAGAACACGTGTCATCAGTCATTGCCCTGGAGCCTTCCCTGGGTAGTTGGAGACCTTCTAGAGACCTTCCAAGACAGGTGGGAGCTTGTTGGCGCTGTTTCTCTCCCTCCTTCCAGCAGCCTTCCTCCTCTTCGCCCCCGCTCGCTCTTGTTCAGCAGGAAGAACATGCTAGATCTTTTAACTCAGCACTTGCTGACGTTTGCTCTGTGGACGTGGTTTGTAGCCACAGGTCAGCGCAGGGCTGTGAGTCCACCAGATGCCAAGGGCACGGGGCGTGTGTCGGTTCAGGGGTGGAGTCGGAGTCCCAGAGCCCAGAGTTCAAATCCCCACTCTGCCCTGTGCTGACACAGTTGACCAAGCAAGTGTTACCTGACCTTGGCCAGCCTCAGTTTCCCCATCTGTCAAGCAGGCCCAGGCTACATGTTCAAGATTAAATGAGCACTGGCTGGAGGATCGTGTGCATGTAGCTGTCATGTTGTTGTGTTGTTAACCATTTATTCAGCAAAGTTGTTGGTCACCCTTAACAAAAGAAATAAGATTCCTGCCACTGTGGATCCCCTTCAGGTGGGAGGGGTATTGCGGCGGTGAGTAAACAGCTAACCAAGGAAATTTTAGGGAGTAAAGATGTAACCTTGGCAGCTGTGTGCTAGTGAATGTTGACCATTCCATTCTCCAGAAAAAGGGAGGCCTGATTTGTAGCCTTTGCCAATTTTTATGGTGTAAAACTCTCCCACCATGGCTGATTTCAAGCTACTAAAAAGATATCAACGGACTCTTAGAATTCCTAAAAATTTAGCAGTTGGCTCTTGCAAGGCCCAAGGAGCAACATTGGGTGTATTTAAATAATGTGACTTGGGAAAGACCTGAAGATCTGAGCACTAAATGTGCTGGTAGAATCATGTTCCAGAGAGAAAAGATGATTGTGCAAAGGTGCTGAGGTCCAACGGAGCTTGGTGTGCTCCAGGAACAGATGGCTGCTTGTGGCAGGAGCCTCATGGGGGGGAAGGAGCAGGAGGTTGGAAGCCTCGTAGATCATGGCACCGAGTTTGGATTTTATTCTTAGTCCACAGAAAGTCTTTGGAAAGTTGTAGGCTGAGGAGTGTCTGGGTCTGATTGGTAATTTTTAAGGATCATTGGGCCGTTCTGGTTTGGGCTAGTGTCCCTGCAGGGGAGGGCTTGTGAGTGGCTGGATTCAGGTAGATGTGGAGACTTGACAAGTTCTATCTGTGGGTGTTTGCTTGCTGTTTACCTTGAGTACACCCAGCCTGCAGTTTCTGCTCTGCTATCTCCTTCTCTGTGTGATATTCCTGATAAATCCAGGAGGTGAGATGAGGAAATATATTTATCTTGGGTTCAAATATAAAACAACAAAAACAAATCTCTTCTCAACACTGCCCTTCTTCCTGTGATCTTTATCTCAGAACAGCACCTTGTCTTCAATTTGCATGGGGGAGAAAGATAAAGACACCCAAACTCCCATTTCTATCTCCGCCATAGGGTGCCTCTCGGGTGTGTATCAGACATGAAATACACATGTATGTGTTTAACTGTATGTAAATGCTGTGGGTATGGCCTGGCAGGTTATGAAAGAGGTGCTCCCTGGTTGTGCTCCACTCCCAGTCTGTCTCTTTGGGTAGTTTTCAGAAGGGCACGAGAGAATCCCATCTTTCTGAAGTGGCCTTGTCCAGCTGACCTTTTTTTTTTTTTTGAAAGGGAAATGTTTTGGATCTGGGCTGTCTCTTACAGAAGTCTCTAGTTATTTGTGGCAATTGGATACCAGCGCAACTGAGAAACCAAATCGTCAGTTTGATGTCATCTTGTATTATTTACTGTCTTGGACAGCACGACTCTAGATCGTGTGTCATCATCCATTGCCCTGCAGACTTTGCTTTTTGGCAGTCAACTGAGAGACCCTCCCTGAAGTTTTGTAGAACTTCACAGAAGGGTGGGATATTAGTGACTCCCTGTCACAGCTCCCCTTGGTTGGCAGAGAAAACTGCAGAGGTGCAAAGGGTGAAATGATTTGTATGGCGTTTCTCAGTTGGGGAGTAGCAAGATAGAAACTCACCTTCAAATTCTCAGCTTAGTTTTTATGTTTTCTATTTCTGTTTTTTCAGTTTTTCTATTTTTCAATGTTATTTTGACAGGTTGCCAGATATCTCTTCTTCCTCTAACTTTGTGATTAAATTTAAAGTCCATTTTAGCCAATTTCTCAACCTTGGTCTCCTCTATCCTAGGAGTGATTGTATTATAGTCAGTTTGGAGTACATCCTTGTACATCTTTTCCTATTACATTTGCATGTGTTTAAGTAGATGGATCAAAACATTCAGAATTTGAAAAATTGTATTGGGCTATCCATATTTTTAGATTTCATATCACCGATTAGTCCATGGATGTAACTAATGTATTTTTAATTCTAGTATCTGCTATGCCAGTACTCTTAGTCATACCAGTTTATGTTTTATCAGCTGCATGGGAGTACCTCTGTCCCCAGAGTCTCCAAAATACTTGATATTGTCAAATATTTGTATGCGTCTCCTTTTAGCCAGGTCTCCTTGGTTGCTTAAGTTTGTGTTTGCTTGTGTAAAATCAAATTGAACATCTTTTCTATGCTAATGGTCATTTGTCTTTCTGTGAATTGCCTGTTCAAATCTCTCACCTATTTTTTGGTTGGATAGTTTTATTCATTCAGCAAATATGTACTAAAATATCTGACCTGTGCCAAGTATTAGTCTGGGTGCTAGGTGTGGCAAGTTATATAAATATACATCCCTCCCCTCATTGAGGTGATTGTGTGGTTGTAGGAGAAAGACCCAAGTAAAAGGAACATAGATAGTATACCAGGTGGGATGAAAAGAAAGCAGAAGAGGGAGGGAGAAGGGGGTTGGACTCAATTTTAAATAGGCTGGCCAGGGAGTTTTGTCCTTTATTCTTTTGCAGACACTATTGTTTGTTAGTTATTTTTAATTAGTTTATTTTAAAATTTTTCCTGGTTTTATTAAGATGTAATTGACATACATCACTATGTAAGTTTCAGCATAATGGTTTGATTTACATAATTGTGACATGGTGACCACAGCTAACTTCCATCTTCTCAGATCAGTAAGAAGAAAAGAAAAACCAGAAAAAAATTTTGTGATGAGAACTCTCAGGATTTACTCTCATCACAGCTTTCCTTCATCCCATATACCTGTGTTAGCTATAGCCAACCTATTGTGCTTTATATCTGTAAGGCAGGAACGACACTGAGCAGGTTTTCTGATCCCATGCAGACCGGGTGAAGGAGGAGTCAGAGTCCTCAGTGGCTTTTGCAGTTCTTTTATTGGGATTTACCCGGTTCACAGCAGGCAGGGGTGCTGGGGACCTGGGAGGCTGGCAGGCCTCCCAGCCCCCAGCAAATCCTCACTCTTATCTGGGCTCTCTGGTGATCTCTGCTTCTGCTTCTTCTTCTCTCGGATTCTGTTCGTTCTTGGCTTCTACTGGCGTCCCCGTGACGCCGCTCTTAAAAGCCCAGTCTCAGCCCAGGTAAATCCCATCTACCTAGGCCCACACCCTACTCCAGGTGCCCGCCATCAGGCATGCATTCAGGACCGCAGATCCATCATCTATCCTGATGGAGGGAGGGCAGAAAAGCCTGATACTTTCTACCTTACCCTACAATATCCATTATGTATCTTATAACTGGAAGTTCATATCTTTCACCTTCTTCCAATAGATGTTCTTTATATATTCTGTATACTAGTCCTTGGTCTGTGATATGTTGCACGTATTTTCTTCATTTTAATTTTCTTTTGCCTTGCTCATTATTATTTTTTTAATTACAAAATCAGTCTTGCTAATTGGAATATAGTCATGTAAAAAGTGAAGTTTCTTTATTCCATTGTTCCCGGGCAACCGTTGTCAGGAACTCCAGTTTCTTTTTGGATTTTTCTATTCTCATTAACTTGCAACCCTCCCCTGACCACCAACTAGCCATAGCTTCTGGCTGTTTCTCCATAAATGCAGTCCTGATCTACCACCTTCTTTCTCAGGGCTGCCTAATGTTCCATTTTAGATAGAATCCCTGTAATTCATTCAAGCAGTTTCCTCTGGCTGGACATCAGTTGTTTCCAGTTCTCCATCCCTCCAGATGACATGACAAGCCCCTGCTTTTCCTGCGGCTCCCGTTCATCTCTGGTCTTTGCTGTTTGTTGGGCTAGGGCCACGCCTTGCGTGTGAATCGTGTGAATGGTGCAGTAATAATCTGACTTTGTTTTCTCCTTCTCCCCCAGCTCCACGGCTACATGGAAAATAAGCCTCTGGGGCTTCAAATCTTCATTGGGACGGCTGACGAGCGGATCCTTAAGCCCCACGCCTTCTACCAGGTGCACCGGATCACGGGAAAAACTGTAACCACCACCAGCTACGAGAAGATTGTCGGCAACACCAAAGTCCTGGAGATCCCTCTGGAGCCAAAAAACAACATGAGGGCAACGTAAGGGCTGGGGCCAGGGGTGCTGGGTCTTTGGGGGGATGCGTGGGGCCAGGTGGCAGGGATTTGGGAGAGGGTGGAGTTGGTGGAAACAGGCCCAGAAGATGGTCCCCAATCTGTGATGGACCCACAGAGACTTCTGTTTTTAAAGTTGTTTTTTTTTTTAAAGTTTCTATTTTAAAAATCCCACACCTTAATATTTTTCATGTGTACTGGGAGGACAAATTCTCATGCATCTGGGTTATGTGTAGCATGAGGTTAGACTTATGTACATTTAAAAATTGTGAAGAAACTCACAAAGCCAACATGGCTAAGATTCAAGGATCACTGTGCCCATGGACGGGAGTTAAACTTTTTTTTATTAGGAAATAATATGAAGCTTACAGAAAAACTGTAAGAACCATACAAGGGACTCCTATCTCCCCTTCACTCAGAGTTACCAATTATTAGCATTTTTCACGTTGGCTTTATCACTCCCCTTTTTGCTCTTTCTGCATTCTTGCTGAATCCCTTGAGTGAGCTGCAGGCAGCTCGCTGCTGCCGGTTCACTTTTATTTTTTATTTTATTTTATTTTTTTATTTTTATATTTCAGAGAAGAGGCATTAAGGAGACATGCCATAAGTGTGTGGGACCCTCCTCTGGTGGCCCGGGAGCAGCCGGGGATTGAACTGGCGCTGCAGAGGCTGCGGGCAGCTTCGCAACCCAGCGCTTAAACACAGCAGTGTGGGTTCCCAGAGCGGGGGCTTTCTTACCTGGCTGCAGAGTCTCGGTCAAGCCGAGGAAATGGAATGTTGATCTATTGCTCTCCTCCATGGAGTGGTCTGTGATCCATTCTCCCCCGTTACCTATTTGAGTCCTTCATGTCCTTTTGAGAGTAGAAAAGTTGGCATGAAAAAAGTCTCCCTAGAGAAATAATTTTCACTGGGATTTTCTCTAATTACTTTGTAAGTGTTTTCCCCCTTGCTGGGTATAAATTCCTGGCTGAAATCTTTATCAGTACATGCATCGCAGTTTCCCCTGCAGCTGGCCGTAGAATTATTTGGGTTCACGAGGTGGTTTGCTGGGTGGTCTTTCCTGCTCACTGAGCGGTCGGTTTTAAATGAGCTTCTCAACCTCCTGGCAGCATCGACTGTGCAGGGATCCTGAAGCTGAGAAACGCTGACATCGAGCTGCGGAAAGGAGAGACCGACATTGGGAGAAAGAACACCCGAGTGAGGCTGGTTTTTCGGGTGCACATTCCAGAGTCCAGTGGAAGGATTGTCTCATTGCAGACGGCCTCTAACCCCATCGAGTGTTGTAAGTGGGGTTCTGGGCAGGGCCGGGGTACTTACTGTTCATGCCCTGCCCCCTCGGGCACGCACCCTGGGCCGGGTACCCTGCAGGAACACCCAGGACCTACGTGGGTCAGCTGTTGGCCCAAGATGACCAGCATGGCCAGAGACAGAGCACAGTTAAGGGTTTCTCTCTGCTTCTATTTACTTGTGAGGGGCTTGGGGCCTCACAGGAAATGAAAAAATAAATGGCTAATGAGTAGCCGACAAGCTTTGTTTAGATGAGCCAGGCTGTGCACATGTTTGGTCTTTGAGAGGGTAGGTGCAGTTGGCACGGCTTCCCTGTACATGGCGTCCTCTTTCCCTGTTCCTTCTCCTCTTTCAGTAGGAATGCAGTCATGTCACGCGGCCGCCCATGGCTGATGGACAGCACTGCCCATCCCTGGGCTGAGCACTGAGCATCCACAGGGTATCAATATTCGCAGCCACGATCCTTGGCAATACTTGGTGTCTTGCTGCCCTCTCTATAGTTTATTGGATTATTGTCCTCACAGTGGAATGATGGCAGGGTTGGGATTGGAACAGGAGCTTTGGCACCAAGGAATCACGCTCCCCCGCTCCCGCGTCCCCCTCAGGCAGCCTTGTGTGTTGAGGGGAATCTGCTGGGTCTGGCGCCGCACTGCGCAGCCACACATGAGCACAGTTGAACTCTGTCCTCAGCAGCTCAGTCTGCTGCAGAGAAAGACCCAGGCAAAGAGGTGGAGGATTTTTAGATTCCAGTGGCCGAGACTGGCCATCTGGGAGGGCTCTGAGCAGAACCCTGGCTCATTCCTACCAGGCTTCATTTTAAGGTGCTTTGTGCAAGTTTCGCTGCTGGATTTTGCAAATAGACAGAACGAAGCTTATGGTCTGCGTGTTGTTTGAGAGGTTAGACGTCATTTTTAAAAACATAAAGAAGGACAAAAAAGTAAACATCTTGCCAGAAACAAAAAGTATTGGTATATATTTTTAGTCTTTTTCTTCTAGGAATATTTTTGATATAGTCCTATTCTAAATTCAGTTATTCCAGGTTAATCCCCCCCAACCTTTTTACCATAACTAAGGCACCCCAAAATCAGTTGCCTACAACAGCCAGCGAGATCATGGAAATGAGGTGAAGTGGGGTGGGTGGGTGGGTGGCAGTAGGGAGTGGTGGAGACTGGGGTGCTGGGATGGCACATTCCCCACCCAAATGGACTGCTGTCACTCATCGTCCATGTGGGAATGTAGACTCGGTGTGGCCAGATCTGATTTTTAAAGATAAAGTAAAAATCTCCTGGTTCTTAAAAAGCAGTAACACATTCAAAGTACTCGGTGCAGCAGACAAAATCTGCACCTGGCTTCGATTAATCAGAGGTCCCTGTAATCAGACACTAATGAACAAAGGGAGCACACGAATATTTTATGCAGAGAGGATTTAGGACAACCGCCTCAGGATTGGACGCCAGTGAGGAGAGCAGGACCCCAGAACCCGTCTTGGTCTTTGCAGAGGGATGAAGGCGTCGTCTGATTTCTTCCAGCCTTGCTGGTTGAGATGCGGACGGGCCGGCCGGGGTGGCGAGCCTCTGCTCTGATGTTCGAAGCGAAAGGCCCGAACAGACAAGTGTTGAGAAAGCATCATGGAAACATGGGGATTCCCCTGCTCTACTCAGCAGACCCACCCTGTGCCCGGAGCCCTTCATGGTGGCTGCCTCCCCGCCCCCACGGTCCCACCCTTGGTTTTGACTGTGAAGATGCCTTGGAAGGAAACTCGTAGCTCTTCCTCAATGATTTGGGGGATTTTGAGAAATACCTGTTTTTGGCCCGTGACTCATTCTCCAGGATGGGGCTGTGGTTTGTTGCAAGGAGGGGAGCGGAGTCATCAGGAGGGCCACTGGCAGGAGCTCAGCTTCCTCTCCATAGCTGGGTCCCCTTATCTCGCGGCCATCTGAGAGCTTGCAGGAGCATCACCGAGCCACACTCCTGCCAACAAGGTGTTCAGGTCGCCAGCAGCAAGCTGTAGAGCCCTGCACAGAGGTGTTTTTTCTTTTTCTCTTTCTAAGCCTCTAGTGGATTCGCCCCCTCCTTGTCTGGGCAGATGAGGAAGCCGAGACTTTCTTGGTAAAGTGATTCACTCACTCTTACTCCGGGGCGGCAGAGCCAGGTCTCGGGCCCTCGCGTTGCGTGAAATGCTTGGTTAGGGGCCGGTGGCACCCCCCTTCCTTGTCATACCCGACGGAGCCGCAGATCGGGCTCCTCACCCGGCCCTCCCGTCAGCTTTGTTGCCTTGGTGGTTCCGTTTTCCGAGACCTGTGCCTTATCGTTCCGTAGATACGTATCGCCTCATCGGCGGACTGCGTGCTCCTCGGGGAGATGAAGTCAATAAATATTTGTTGACAATTAGCCCATAACACGTATTGACACAGCCTGTGCGCGATAAATATTTATTGACTCGCTGACTCAGCGTGGACTCCTTGGGGAGGGAGAGAGGGTAAGACAAACACCCCCAGGCGAGGCTAACTTGTTTACTCTGGAGGTGCCTTTGATGTGAGGTCCGCGGGGTCAAGGGTAAGTTCTCCGACTGTGGTAGAAAACTTGAACAACCAGAGGCCTCGCTCTCGAGAGCGAACTTATTTGCTGGGAACCAGATCCGTGACATTTATTTACCGGCCAGCTTGCCCGAGGTCGAACCTCACCTTGGCACAGATGGGCACCCCTACGTTCCCGACTTCTTTATCAACTAGCTCTTCAGTGTTGCCAAGGAGACGCTTTTCCTTCCTTCTTCGCAAAGACTATTTTGAAGCTTCTTCAACCCTCCAGCCTCTGCCCACTGCCTCCGCCGCTTCCCGCTCCCCAGCCAGCAGGTCACCACACCGCCCACGGCTCGGAGGACGTGGGAGAGGTCAGGAGGGGTCACCCTCACGCTCCCCAACAACAAACCTACCCGGGATCACAGCTGCAGCAGCCTTTCGTCACCCTGCCCTGGACGTGGGGCAGTTCCCCATTCCCCACGGGCGCCCCGAGCTCTCGGCTCCAGCTTCCCTTCCCTCGGTGGCTGATCTCTCACATGGTGGCTGATCTCTTGCATCCGTCTCTCTTCTTTGAGTTTTCAGGGCTGCAGAGCCGGTCAGCGCCGAGTGCGAGGCCCACAACCCAGAAACGGGTTCCTGCTCAATGCTGGAGCCCCAAGCTCTGAAGCGTGTCAGTGGGCTCAGTGGGGGCCCCTCTGAGCCAGTCCTTGTGCCCAACCGGGGTGGCCACCACCCTTGGCTTGTAGGCGCCCTCTCCTCCGTGTCATCAGGGTCGCTTCTGTGTCCTTCCCTACCTCCCATCAGGACGCTGCCTGGTTTCAGCCCCCCCCCCCCATTGAGGATGAGCTCATCTCCATCCTTATTCTGCGGTCACATTCCGCAGGGCAGGGTGGTTTTGGCGGGGGCTCTGTCCAGCCCTCTACCCCTCTCCAGCTACTGTTCTTGACTCCTCCCGCATGTTCTCTCCTTGATTCTCAGTCCACTGGGACTTCTCTCTGACTCGAGGCTTTTACCTTTGCTGTCACCTGCACCCAGAACACCTGCTCTCAAACTTGGCTGCACGTCAAGTGAGAATCCCTGAGGAGTGTTAAGTCTGTGAGGAGTGCCCCCCCCCTCCCCGATTCCCATCCTGCTGGGCTGGGGTGTGCTCTGGGCATGGGGACTTTTCAGTCTCTCAGTTAACTCCTTCTGATCCAATGTGCCATTTAGATGGCCCTAGATGGGGAAACTTTCCTTGACCCCACTGTATATGGGGCCCCCTTTTCGTGGGCTGACGACATGATTTACCCGTCAGCTCCTCATGTCCGGCTGGAACCTGGCACGGTGACCGTCTTCTTGAAGATTTGTCGAGAGGAGGTGCAAACAGACATCCCCAGGCTGCCCAGCAGGAGAGAGGTGGCCGCAAGAAGGGCGATGTCCCAAGAGGTCGAGGCCCCCGAGGCCCCCCGGGCTTGCTCCCTGCCCTGCCGGGGTCTCTCTGACCATCCATTTCAGAAAAGCCATTTTCCACCAAGTCCTCCCGGCCCCGGCACAGAATGGGTGTCACTCTGCTCACTTGGCAGGAATCGGGAGAGCAAGGGGTGTGGACTAGAAAGTGAACGTTCTCTTTTCAGTATCTGCCTTTTTTTGACATAGATAAGTTCGGCCGAGGCATCGCTAAGAGACAATATGCTGTGCAGACTCTAAGTCTTCGGCTCGGTGACTTTTGACAATTGTAGGTGCCCATGTCATCACCACCCAAAGCCAGACACAGCACGGCTTCACCCGGGGGCCCCCGCGGCCGCCTCCCAGGCCTCCCACAAAGGCCGCCACTGTTCCGGCCCTTGTCACCACGTGTCGGCGTCCCTGTCCGGATCTCCGTGCAGAGGGTTCACACAATGTGTGCTCTTGTGTCGGCTGTTTTTTCTCGGCACGATGTTTTTGAGATCCAGTGCTATTATTGCGGGATTTGGTAGTTCATTGCTTTTTACTGCGAAACAGTATTCAATTGTATGAGTACAACAATTGTTTGTTTACCACTGGTAGACATTGGGTTGTTTCCGGGGGGCTGGGTATGATGGAGAAGGCTGCCATGGATAGTCTCATTCGAGTCCTTTTGTGGACAGAGGCTTTCATTTTTTTCTTTCTTTTTTTAAAAGATTTATTTATGCATACAAGAACTGGGGTGTAGGCAGAGGTGTGGGTGGTGAGAGGATTCCCCAGAGACAGAGTGGGGAGCAGAATAGGCGGATCTGCTGAAATGCACCGCTGAGGGGAGCAGCGGGGAGACAGGAGAGGTCTGCTGCGCCATGTGGGTAGCTCCCTGGCCGGGGATCGAACTCATGCCCCAGTGGCTGGTGATAACTTGATAGCACTGAAACTTTAACCCCTGCACCACCAGGGAGGCCCCCAGAGGCTTTCATTTTTCTTGGGTGACTATCTGGACTGGGATTGCTGGGTCACAGGGAAGTGTGTGTCCCAATCTATGAATTTCAGT